CGGCGTTCGCTTTTTCAGAATCTATAAAACAAAACGGCCACGTGAGATGGCAGACCCGGCGCGCGCGGAAAACCCTCCCACGAGGAGGCAGCGGCTGGTGCCGGCATCTCGGATACCTCATGAAAGCAAAAGCAGGAATCCTCGATAAACAACATTGGGGTGTCACACTGAAAACCTAGCAGCATTGACGTTTTACAAGCTCTTTCTCGAGGGCCTGCTGCCCCCGGGGAAGCGCTGCTCTGCTGGAGGCAGCTGCGGATGCCGGTGGCCATCTCCGAGCTGGCCTCGCTTCTCCCGAGGGAGATGCCCGTGCCAGAAGGAAGCCCAGCGCGAGTGCGTGGAGCACAGCACGAGGCTGAAGCAGCCACAGCGCCGGGGCTGTCGTGGGCCCACGTGTCCTGCGCGAGCCACAGGTCAGGCGTGCCGGCAGCTTAGCGACATGCACTTAAGTCCTTTAGGCCCCATCACAGCAACATGCATGCTCACTGTTGGGTCTGCAAGCATGTATGGCTTATACCATGGACAGTTTGCTGGATTTTTTTGGAAAAAACACAACGAACCCTTTCGAAGGTCAGCTCTTGGGAGTGGGGGACACAAAGGGCATCCAGAAAAAGCGCGTTGTGCAAAGGGACACTGTTTGCTACAGCTCTTGGTGGGTTTCCATGTTTTATGCTTTGTTTTTATTAAATGTAGTTCCAATTTCTTCCCTCCTGTCTTTCCTGCTCTGTCTGTTCGTAGGAATAAGTGCTTTCAACAGAAGCAAAACATGTTTTCACTGTATATCTCCCATGAGCTTCTGAGCAATGTCACTTCTGCAAAGACTTGAATCCACCCCAGCTCTCAACAGCCGCTCACTACTACCTACCACCACTTGGCACAGAAACTCATCCCGGAAAACAAAACAAAGCAAAATTAGTGACCTCCAGGTAACAGGAGAAAAGCTTGAGAGAGCAATGGGACTGGCTCCTGGTTACACAACAGCTTAGCCACAAAGTCAAAGGCAGAGTGCGCTTTTCCGGTGGCCGGCCCCTTGCAGGTACTCGCCCACATGCCAAGGGCAACCTCGTGTTTGGACTGCAGTCTGAACTTTTGACCAAAAACTGGAAGGGCCTCATCAACAGCACTGCAGAGATCACTGAACTCAACTATGTTAAAGTCTCCTCTGTGTTGGGCAGCACAACCATGGAAAAAATTGCAGTTATTGCACAAAATATCTTGTAGCTGCTGACTAGAGAAGGAAATAAACACTGGAAGAGGTATCAGAGGTAGTTTGTCTAATCAGATTAGATAAACAAACCTGAATGCTGAAAAATAAGTTTCTATCTTTTTTTCAGAGTAATTCCAAACAAAAACCACAAGTCAATACTTTTTGGGGTATTTATGTCAGGCCCAAAGAACATCTGTTTGAGAAGGACTGGCAGCCAGTTATTTCTTTTAAAATTCCTAAGCTTTTGAAAGATGTCAAAGCTCCTGAATATCTAAGCAAAAATTACGATAGGTCCAAAAAATCCCCAGCACAGTGGCTCAAGGGGCTCTTGCCACATCCCCTCCAGTTACTCAGAGCTCCTGGAGCGCGAAACCTGCCTTAGTCGCACTCGGTGGTAACGGAAGACAAAGTATGGAGATCTGCTCTTTTCCAAAGGAAAAAAAAATCCTAACTTCCTTCTGCCTTATATGACAACTTGTTAACGTGCGACTTCAACAACATGCTAAATATATGCTGTGAATCCATCCAGCGGCACTACGTTAAAAGAAATTCATCCAAGTTTCTCCTGCTCATCAGACTTTGAAAAAACAAAAAACTCCTCACAGGAACTTCACTGTTATAACAGATTTAATCAATCTACAAGGTCTTATTCTATGCATAGTGCTTGCATACTTAGCAAGGGAAACCCAAAACTTAATGAGACTTTGCCTGTAAGAGTGCATACTTAAATTATGCAGCCTCTAGACTTCTTGGGAGGAGGTTATTTCAAGGGAGAAGTTTTATAATCCAAGTATATTTAGATCCAAGTGTATCTAGCAGCAACCTTGATAGTACACTTCAGCTACCACTTTGAGAAAATGCAGAGGGGACCACATAATTAAAAAAAGTCACTGTCTGCTTGTATAAGCCTGTCTTCCAGATGAATCAGTTACAAGCAATCTATTTACTAACACAGCTAAAATCGGCACCACAGCCCATGCAAATCCCTCTGAGCAACAGATTCTTTCATAATGCAGAATTTGTAACCCAACAGCTCCTAAAAATCCATTTCATTAGGTTGCACTTCTGCAACTGATCTGCGTGAACAACAGAGAGAGCGTGATGAGGGCTCAGAAGCTCGCCTGCCTGCCCCCTCTGAAGGGCACGGCTCAGGAAGCGGACTTACCTGAAAAAAGAAATATCAGTCCAATCAAAAGTCACTGACACGTAGAAGTCACAACACAATCCATGACTGATTAGCTTGGGGAATATAGACGGGGAAATAACTGTATTTACCATGTTCATTCACAAGAAACAACACAAGCATCAGCACACCAGATGCCTTGCACAAATACTCAACTGAGGCTCAGATCGGCACTGGCCTAGCTGTGTAATTGTAGCTAGAGCCTAACACCACAAAAAACAAAACGTTACTCAAAGATTCAACAAATAATAAGTAACTATGGCAAAAAATGCATGTGATTGAATTTATTGAACAGCAAAAAGGTAATGTCATAGCAAGTTATTCATCTGTCTACGATAACGAAGAGTGCCAGAGCCTCCCGTTGGCATACCCTGCAGGGATCTCGCCCCTACGCCGCAAACACGCTCCGCTCCAGCACGACCACCCTTTCCCACAAACCTTGTCAAAAATCAGGGGCTGAGGAGGGCAGACGAGGAGCCAGGACACTGCAAAAAACCTTACTAGGTCATTATCAGAAGTAGTCTTGAACTATTTCATTTGCAGCTTCGGCCTCCAAGCCAACTCCTTCAACAAGATCTGTCTGAACTGACCGGAGGGGGTAGCTAGTTGGCAGCAAGCCAGAAAACTGCAGGTTTTTGCCATCTTAGTTAACATTTGAGATATCAGTCTTGCTTAACATGACCTGAAATCTTTGTTTACTGTGGAGGTGGGGGGAAAGCAATACTTAGGTCAAATAATTTCGAAAAGGAGACTACTTATTATGACTCTCCAAAGCCTACTTCCAATCAGTGCAGAAGGTTGAATGTTTTTCCTGCTCAGACAATACCCATAAGAACACGCGCGCTAACGGAGCGATACAAACACACTAAATTCTAAGCGCAGGGCTCGTTCTGAAAAATTGTGAATGTTTTCTGAATTGAAAATAAGAGCGCTGGGACCACAAAAACTACTTTAAGAGAAAGAGCAACTATTGAAAAAGCCAAATTAAACTAATGACTAACTCAAATGTATTAGTGATTTCCCTCCACAAATAACAAATGGCAAAACCTGAAATTTGATTAAGAACTTCGTTTGGGAAACACTGGCATTCACCATTAGAGACATATTTCCAACACAAATATTTTTGTAGGAGTGAGGAGACTGCCATATTTGGCCAGATGAGTGGCCAATTTAATCCCTCATCTTGTCTTTGATACCAGCTAATATCAAACATTACAGAAAAAAAATGCAAGAAGCTACACAGCAGACAGTGAAGGAATAGGAGAAAATGGAGCACTTTAAAGTTACATAAAAAGTAACAGTTAAATAATAGTATCTACTCTTTAAAGTTATAGGAAGAGGACCAGAGTTAATTATACAAAGAAACTGCAAGGGATAGTTTTTGCATCATTTGTTTAAAGTGAACTTGGTGTAAGGGAGGTTGGATTGAGATTTGCAGGAGAGCGTTAAGTATTTAAAGTTATCCCCCTGCGATGTCCTGCGCCGTTCCCTGCCACTTGCCAGCCCTGCAGCGCACGAGCAGGCTGCCGGGCAGCGGCTCGCGCGCCGAGCAAGCCCCGTCACCCACAGAGCAAGCCAGGGACGCTGCAGAAAAATGGGATTGGATTATGCGTTTATATATTCTGTCATGATATATAGCAATTGGAAAGCCAAATTAAGGGCAGATGGGCAAACTTAATTTGGCATTTCCTAAGTACTGGATGCATGACTTGGCAGCTTAAAATATTCTTTCAATATTTGTTTTAATTTTCTATAAATGTTTAAAGTTAAAAAACTGGGGACCTCCCAACTCCCCGGCCCTCCAGCCCCATCGAAACCTCAAATTTAATCATAAGGATCCATCCCGGCTCCACACGGGTCCTTATGGAGCTGCTCTGGGAACATCAAAATGAGAAAGCTAAAGGACGTGGCTGTAGGCTTGCCGTTAAGGAAAGGGGAAATGTTATCCAGGGTGCTTCATACCTGCTTGCTAGACTTCAGAGGAACATTCAGAGTCAGGAGCAAAATCAGTTCGGTTCTGGGATCTGCAGGGGAATGGTTTCTTGTGTACAGACCCGTGTGGCTGTGGCCCCACCTGCAGTGCTGCAGCACAGAGCCTGCTTACGCCTCTCACCCTTTGTCTGAGCTACGTAGAAAGGTCTGGGCCTGAGTTGTTTAAATCTGGCAAAATTTATAGGCCACGGAAACCGGTGTCACACACTGCAACGTGCCAGGCAATCTCACTGCTAGAGCAAGTACTGGTACCTGCGATACGTATGCTTTTCTCTCTGAAGACTCTATATAAAACACATGCATGCAGCTAAATAAAATATCTTAGTTTCACTCACCAGTCCTATTTAAGTGGACTTAATAGATATACAGAATGATTTTTAAGAAACAAAAATTGCCTCTAAGCATGAGGAGGATGTTCATGACAAACAGGACTTTGGAGCAAGATTTTTTTACTGTTAAAAGATGTGGGCAGAGCAATATGGCCAGCACCTTTGGTCAAACTCTGCTCAGAAAGTCCCATTTGTTTCATCTCGTGTCGTTGGCTTAATTGCTAAGAGTCAAAGCAGCCTTCAGCATGATCAAGGATAAGAAAATACAGCTTAAAGTTAATAGACGGAAGACTTGCAGCCAAGATGGCTATCAGGGAATTAAAATGATGAATACTGCAATGAAGACATCAGCCTCTGAGCCTTTCTTTGGCCCCAACTCTAGCTAAAGATACAACAGTGAGGAACATAGAGACTAGAAACGTGAAAGCTTCCTTTTAGGAGAGTAAATGAGTACGTATGTGCCTCAGAATCAAGACCGGCTTCGGAGGGCCCTGGTCCCGAACACCGGGCGCACCTGCGTACACCAGCACGTACCGGCCGCGAACCGCGCCGGGGCGCTGCAGCAGGCTGCCTTTGAGCGGAAAGAAGAGACTGAGGATTTCTAGGGAACTGCAGCACAGATACTGAAGTGTAAAACGCGTGCAGCACATACAGCAGCACCGCACAGGCGGGATGTACAGACACAGGGAAGCATCAAACCTCCTCCCACACTCCCTTTCCTTTCTTAACTTCTGCTGCAAGCTATCATAACTGAAGGAGACTTCCAAGGGTGCGCAGGTAGCACAAGGTTACGTCAGGGCTGATTTTCATGTCTTCCCTTCGTCACGTTTAACTTTTGTCAGGACCAAGTTAAAAGGGTTTCCACAGTACCTTCCAGCGCGGGAGACGCACCGTCCAAGCGCCTCCTTCCCCACCTACCTAGCACCCTAACTCTAGCATCCTAGCTCGTACCAGCAGCAGTACTAAGGACACCGCCTGGGTCTGGGTAAAACAGCCCCTTTAACGTCCCAGCCCGGCCTGCTTCGTAGCAGCGTAACAGCAGCCGCCCCGCAGAAGGCCGGAGGCTTCGAGCAGCCCAGCCGGCGAGGCCGGCGGCACGCGGCCGCCGCAGCACCGTTCTGCAGCTGCAAGAGGTGGGACAGCGGCGTTACAGGCAGAAACCGGGAAGCAGTGAGGGCATCGCGTCCGCTCCTTAAACACAAGGCAAGGGCCAAGAGTCTGGAAAACAAATGACGAGTTACCCGAACAGCTACAAATTGACACATTTCTAAGTTTTAGAAAAACACTGGGTTTTTCACACAGTTTTCAAGCACAAGATGTTTATTTTTCTTCTTTCCAATCTATACAGTTTCTTGGGGTTTTTAGTGCCACTGACTCTGTCAGTATACAAGGGATGGACTATACAACAGGCGATAGCAACATAAACTGTACGATTCAGTGCAAGCTGAAGGAAAACTGGTGTGAGAACATATTTTCCATGGTTGCTCATGAAGCATACAGACATGAATCTAAAAAACCCAAACAAATTAAAGATACATGTTACAGAGAACAGAAATCTCTTACTACAGTAAGTATTTTGCCCAGGCAGAAGACTCTGCATAATTGTCTATAAAATTCAATTCTAACTGAATTGATGGAATAATATAGTCAAACGTTACAAACAAAATAATTTAGACAGAGAGGATGCTCGAAGTACAATAGAACTACACAATTCACAGCTTGGCAGCACAAGACATCTCTGCCCTTCAGCAGACAGTATCAAATGTCATTGCAGTAGAGATACAGAGCAACGTGCCTTCAAATTTGTCTGCGTGTTTTGTCACCGGTGCCTGTAACGATCTCCCTAAGCGCTTTCTATGAAAATGAAACTTACCATCAGCAAACCAGTTTTAGTGGTTATCTTGTGCCTTTAGACTGCGAGGTGCAGATGCAGACTCTACGCACAGTAAAATGGGCAAAAAGCAACTTTCAAACAGGAGAGAGGAGTCCATGACACCTACAGAGCAAACTTAATTAAAAAAAAAAATTCAAACAAGAGGTGGTCAGACTCCAAAACGCAAGTATTCACTGGTCATATATGAAAAAGTAAAACAACAGCTTCACATTTTTATTCCGTTTCAGTGTGAATACTGCTAGCACTTCAGTGACAAAACACCACTCTTAACTGAGATTGCTGAGCTGAAGACAGAAGACATGCAAGTACTGTACTTACATGGTTCTTACAGTAACCCGGAGATACTTTCTCCTATAATCAAGATTTCAGTTAGACTTTTCACTTATGAAACATGCATGGATTTGTAATTTAACTAAGATATAAAAGCCCAGTAAAGGACAGAAAATGTAATCAAATTTGCTGCAGATCTAGAAGAAAACTGTATTTGCCCACCAGCTAGCTCCCTCTTACAGAAATAAGTTGCCACCTGCAACAGCTTTAGCAAGGACTGCATAACAGAATGAATTGCACTGCCCAAAGCTATTACCTGTTCGTATGCGCAGCTTACTTGGATCGCTCTGTAAAGGTGCACTTCACTGCTCCTTGTACAAACACAAATAAATTTAGGTCATTGTCTCAAACCTCACCTCACTATTTAAAAACTCGCAGAAATGACAATTCAATCTATGCATTAAAATAACAGCATTTACAGTGGAACAAAACCAATGAAGAATTTCAGCTGTAAACCTTCAATATCTTTGCAAATAAAAAGGAAAATTTAACTCACAAGCAGATTGTAAATAAAATACACCTTCCAAATTTTTTTACATCTCTTTCCAGCTGGAACTGAAAAGCTTAAATTCAAGGCACTGTACTCCTGCAGGGGTTAGTACACTTTTCTAATCATCAATTCAAGTACATTAACTTTAAGGAGTGCAAGTGTAAAACACCAGAACACAACATAATAAAGTGTCTTTAGCAATGAAAGATAAGCAAATATTGCCATAACAAATGAACTATCTTTTGTGGGAACGTTTCACAGTGGTTACTGGATGCGGCAGCTACGCAGCCAAACGCGCCGCCTTACAGTTTCAAAATCATCGTTACCTATCGCAAGGCAACTGAGCTACGTCATCCTCAGGTTAGGGCCAGGCGGACCAGCAGCGGGCTGCTGCAGCGGCGCTGGGTGCGTCTGCGAGCAACCTTCCCCGAGAGCCGAGAAGGGGGCAACGCTCTGACCTCCTACAATCCTGGGTTGCGCCGTCACGCCCGACCACGGCACGCCGTAAAGCGGTGCAGGGAAAACTCCTCCGTACGGACAGAGAGGCATCACATAAGGTGTTACTGTGCCAGAAAGAGCAGTACCTGGCATAGGCACTGGCACGGGTGGCGAAACTCCCGCAGTTAACACAGCGGACATAGGACAAGACACTGGAGCAATGCACTGATTCCCCAATCCTGTTCTTACTGAATTAACCTACAAAAAGAGAAATAAAAAAGCATAGCTATTAAGCTTCGATTTTCCTGACTGATGAATGCAGTGTCATGCTGTTGAGCTCGGAGGGCATTTGCAGGATCAGTCATTTTTCAACCGAGCTGCAGCGGGGACGGGGTCCCACGTCAGCCGCGCTCCCTCCAGCGGCCAGGGCTCGGCATGAGCAACGCTGCGCGAGACGCCCGCGCAACGCTGGCACCGAACTGCTCTGCCCCCGCGCTCGCAAGCAGCTCTGCGCACTGCTGGTGAGCTGCAGAGCGTTTGCAACAGTCCCGCAGCCTGAGGACGCATCACTGAACACATGAGACCTTAGCACTGTAAAGAAAGCCACAAAACCCTTTTGAATCTTGCGTCCAAAGCATGCAGGTATCCCTCATTACTGCTGGATCTTGTACTTAAAAGATAAATGAAGCCAAATGCAGACTTAAACCAAATCGCATACTGTACTGTACTTCTTGCTACCCTATGCACAGAAAAAGGGACAACTTTTAAAATGAGCAGGTTCACTGTCTCCAACTCTAATCTGAAACCTGAAGCTTTTGATAAGCATCAAGCTACGAAAAATATCCCCTTTAGTGCAATGAATTTGAAGCCATTAATGTATAAGCATCCACCCAAATTAACAGCAGAAGCCAAAAAACAAACAGAGGAACGGAGAACCTATTCATAAGACAATTATTTCTTTAAGCTGTTATTACACCCATATTCTCTCATCCTCGAAATGATGTTTTTCACCAACCTAGACAACTGTAAGTGGTTAACATGGATCCCCTGCCAACGTACCTCACTGAAATACGTCACTTCCTATACAAGCGATAGATTATAGCAGCAGTTAAAATTGTAAGGTGACATTTTAGCAAGTAGTTCTGTAGAAAAATTATAATTGAGAAAAAAGTTCATTGTCAATTATTTTAAAGTGCTGAGGAACTGACGTCACCTGTATTTTTCTACCTCTTTGTTCTTAACTCAGGCACTCCATAAAGAAGCAGCTGTATTCAAGGCTATCTATGTGCAGCCAGGAATAAAATTACATCATGCCCCAAAACCAAACATCACAGACATAACACAACTTATTAAAGCTGTGAAAAGTGCACACTAGTGTTTCAAGGTTGCTTCTCCTACCTTTGCTGCATGCTTCAAGTGAACAAATAAACATACACTTTAAGAGGCAACACGATTCCTAGCTCTTGCATTCCCCCCATGTATAGAAGTTTCTCAGTCAAGCCACTTTTTTAACCATGAACTTTTGACCAGCTACAATGGACCACTGACAGAGGCTGAAACATCCTATTCCTTCCTGCATGTAAACACAGAATGTAATGTCAAAATCAACGTGCACTGCCATGGTCCTCAAAATCGGGCATAAGTAGCTACGGATTTCATAGGTTCGGAAAGCCATCAAGTCACTTTGTTCATAAAATTCAAAGCAAAACACACAGACATTCATGCAGCGATGAATAACGTGCACACCTAGAGTAGGGTCAAAGTGAAGGCTGTCATCAAAGGTGGCCTGGCCCTCGCCAGAGCTGCCTGGCACTGCAAGCCGGGGCACTCGGGGGAGATGCAGCAAAGCTCCTCCTCAGCTGCACAGGCACTCACGCGAGTCTGCCAGGGCGTCGAGCTCGCCAGGAAGCTGTGACCCTGCTCGCTCTCCCAGCACTCATGGCCCGTCCAGTTCGGTGGCAGCAGGACCCCCAAGTCCGCTTTAGCACCCTGCTTGGCCGGATGCCCTCTCCCCTTAACTCTTATGCTGTCACTTCTGCAGGTTTATTCTAAGGCACGAGCTGATGATTGCAGCACCTTCGTCAATTATACTATGGTGTGTCTTGGTCATGGAAAGCCTTCAATTACCACAGTGCTGCCTGGATTTTGGTATTCTACCCATGGCTTGAAGGTAGGTACGACTTGCATATTTTATACTAAGTTATCTTGGGAATTGAAAGCAAGTGGTGCAACATCAGACTCCTGAACCCAGCTCAAGCAATCAAGGCTTACAGATGAGTAAAACCCCAAAAGATTTATAACAATAGCTTTCAGTCTTATAGGACATACACATACAGATACACACACACACACATTTTATTTTTTATTTATATAAATATATGTATATACACACACACATATATATCTCCTCCAATTCTCCTGCAAGAGGGTAAAGCAGAAGCCTTGTTTTTCCTTCCTAATTTCCTTTCTAATTTAACCAAGGTGATGCAACACTACCAACAAGGAACGAGACCGATATCTGACTTTGCTAACTATGGATGACGTTACTTCATTTTTAATATTTCGATATTAATTTACTTCTGCTTGTTCTGCTCCTTGTCTAAACCTTTACACAGCCAGCTCACACGACCTTAAGCAGGCTGAAGAAATAGTCACGGATTCAAACTTAATGAATTTACCAAACGCACTGCAAAATTCACGCTTGTCTTCACTACGCAAGCAAGTCTGTCTGCTGGAGACGTCTACTAGGGACTTCTTCAGGAGCCGACGTTCTAAAACACACCAGTATTGCAAGGGAAAGAAGTGGAAAAAAAATTTCCCCTTTCCCTCTCCACCTCAGTTAGCCTTTCCTAGAGAAAGGCAACACTCGCCTCACCTAACCCGCTCGCGCTGTCTGTAAGGGAAAACCCTGGAGATGGAGCCAGCACAGACTACACGTACAGGGAACGCGCCCGCCCGCCTGACCGAAACGTAACCAAACCGACACACAATAACCAGGAAAACACCGCTATGAGCGCCGCTACCGGCTTAGGGAGAGCCGAGCACAAGCTGCGGTGCCGGCGG